CCCCGTGACTAACCGGCGCTTGCAACAACTCGCAGATGATCGATGTCAGTGGAACCCGTACTGTCAGCCTCATTTTAGACAGTCCGATTAAGCATTTGGATTTGTAGGCACTTCAGAGTGCCTGTCAGAACCAGGTCCTCTCTCTCCACGACTCTGTCCTCTATTTCCAGGCCTATGGCTAAGGTTTGTGTTTGTGTGTCGGTGAAGAATCAGTGTCACGCATGATGCTGTTATCACATAAATACACATATTAGCACCTGAGTGTGCTTTTTGAAGGGTCCACGATCCGAACAGAACTCTCACGATGCGTTGCTAAATAGGCCAAATATACGGAAACGTGGAGACGGTTTGACGTTACTGCGGATAATACGCTGTATGATAGCGTCAAAAACGCCGAGGAACTGCAGAACATCGGAGTGGAGAGCCAAAAAATTATTGTGCGCTCAAACAAGATGACCATTTGTCGCTATCATCATGGAGACGCAAAAGTTTCAGTGAACTTTAGAACTTAACTTCTTGAGTGCTCTCACAGTCCACTGACGCCGCTGTGGATGCTAGTCTAGTCGAGGAGATATTTAGCTGACTTCACCCCATTGGGTAGTATCATCCAAATGTTGACAGACTTGTTATTTGGTTTCAAAGGCTGCCTAAAATGGCTTAATTGAGAACCCATCCACGGGTAGTAATACCTAATACATGACATGGTGTGAGCTACAGTTCATCATTGGATTGATTACGTCTGAGAACACAATTCTCAGGTAGTGTGGACGGTGCAGCGCTAATTAGTTCAAATATCCGAAACCGCGGAGACGGTTTGAGGATAAACTGGTTAATATCATGAATGATAGTGCGACCAGCAGAGTACCAGAGTAGGAAGACAGAAACTCACTTTGCATGGGATCAGGGCGATCATTTGAAGTTTTCATCATGGGAATGCAAAAGTCCGAGTGAACTTGAAAACCTAACATGATGGAAATTTGGTGGTTGTGTGTCGGGCACTGATACTTGTGGGTTAATTTACGTGATGCTAGCATAGTCGGACTTCTCAACACGATTGATTTTTCGATTACGCGATTCGCCGAGTAGATCTGTTATCCTTTGTGCTGACTGCTCGGTGACCACGTGGTTTTCTGGCTCGGCCAAGCCTGCTTTCGCAAACATGTTGGTGTTTGAGTGGCGGGTATGTGTGATCTCTCTGGTTTCTTCCTTGTGAACATTGCGTCGCTCCAATCCACTCCCTAACAGCACACTGGTGATGTCAACTAGATTAATAGTGAAACGTTTGTATGCAAACTGTCGAGGTCATCAGTCATCATAACAATCATTGGATGGTATTGGTTTTGACCCGTAGCATCATTCACATTCCTATATGGGAGGGCGTGATATTGTCACTTGGACTCCAAGAACATAAAGATCAGTCCCACCATGGGACCTGTTCGAGGACCTGTGGATTTGTGGTGATGCGATAGTCCTCGTGGGTGG